TCCGCTCCGCGCCGGCACGTGAGCTCCCGGGAGCCGGTGCGGCCGCCGTCGCGCGCGCCCCCGAAGGGCGGGGCCGGGTGCGCGCGGGCGCCCGCCTTAAAGGGGAGGGTCCCGGTTAAAGGGGCGGAGGCGCTCTCCTCGGCCCACCTCGCGCGCCCGTGCGGCGCCGAGCGGAGAGGGGGGAGGCCGGGGCGGGCGGCCGCCGCCGCGCGCCCTCCGGCCCGCCGAGCCCCGCTGGGTCCGTCGCCGCGGCCTCCTAACGGGAGTGCCCGCGAGGGGCCCCCGGCCGCCCTCTGGACACGGCAACCTGTGCGATCGCCCTTTGGAAATGTGGCTGGGCTGGCGCGGCGCACAGCCCCGGCGAGGGGGCTGCCCAGGTAGAGCCCTCTCGGTAAACGGTGGGACAGCAGCCGCCGAACGCCTCAGGAATACGCGTCGCGCTTCCCCCTGTCTGTCTTCGGGAAATAATGAGGCTAAATATTTACGCAAAATGTTCCCTTGCTTATTTATCGTTGGGAAAAGCTGGACGCTAGAGAAACAATCGCAGAAGCTTAGATAAACTACGGCTCAGCCACGAGAAGAGGCCCTAGTAATTAAACCTCGGTTTACAGAAACTGATGGCGCGAGGAAACGTTACTCCATGTTAAATGAGAGCACAGAACGCCAAACTTTACAACGTTAAATTCTGGTGGCTGATACGTACGTGTAGGAGAAAACAGGAGGATATTACTCAAAAGTACCGCTAGGATTTTCTGTTGTCTGTTTATTTGAGACAGGATCTCCCTGGCTAGCCCTTGCTACCTTGGAACTCACTGTGTAGCCCAGGCTGGTTTCAAACTCACTGAGAACTGCCTGTTTCTGCCTCCCAAATGTTGTGTCTAAAGGTGTGTGCCACAGTACCAGGCTGAAATAATTTTTTATCTTTTCTGTAAATATTCCAGTCATTTCTAAATACTCTCCAGGTAAACATTTCAAATTCAGTGGGAAATGCTTATAAAAGGAAAATGATCCCATAGCTTTCTCCAGAGTTCACTTTCTTTAGCTTGACTTCATTAAGAGGGTGAGGCCTGGAGAGTCCAGAGACTTTGGTGTCTGTATTCTGCTTCTGATAACTGGGAAAACAACATTTTCACCTTTCTAAGGCATAGTTTCATGTGTGAGACCTAGGGTTGAGAAGATGTCAAGAAAGAGAGGGAGGAGAGGCAGACGGATCTTTGATTTTGGGGCCAGCCTGGTCAACAGAGTGAGTCCCAGGACAGCCAGGGCTGGCTACACAGAGAAACCTTGACTGGAAAAAAACAAAACAAAAACCAAACCAAACAAACAAAAAACCCAAGCAAACAAAGGAGGGAGGCTGTCTTAGTGTGTGATTGTCACCTGACCTTATAAGCTGTCCCCAACACAAGGAACCGAGGGAAATGAGGAGTGTCCCTCCCTCCCCAGGTACACACACAGGGTCAAGCCTGCCGTTAGCGAGTAGCTATTTTTATCCTTTTTACCCAAAGTTACCACCTCTCCTCCCCAAGTCTGTCTAACTGGACTACCCAACTGCTCCGTCCTCCTGTAGGTCCCCAGCTCCCCAGCTCCCCTGGGCACAGTACTGAGAGCCACTGGGCCAAAGCTGGTTTTAGTTTATTCTCTCTCCGTTCTGAAGCCTAGAAACCCGAACCCACTCTTCAGGACTGACTCCTCCTCTGTGTCGCCCAGCCTCCGGAGTGCTGGGATTAAAGATGTGTGCCACCACTGGCCAGGCCTTTTGTTTTGAAACAGGGTCTCATGTGACCCTGGCTGCCTGTGAGCTCACTATATACAGGAAGATGGCCTTGAACTCCTGGTGCCCTGCCTCTGCGGAGGTGTGTTGAGGTTACAGGTGTACCGCCATGCCAGTTCAGATAACCAGAACTTGGTTGTGTCGATCTGGCTTCTGAGAAAGATCACGTTCAGAAGTTTTGGATACCAGATAACCCTGTTCGGCCAGAACCCCTGCAAATGGGAAGGGACACTGGGCACTCTTGCCACTTCGGGGGTCACAGAGGGAACAGTAGGGTCAGCCTGAGCACACAGAACACCGATCTCGATGCTAGGTCCCCAGATCCGCATTCACCATCTGCTTGCCCGATGCCTCCCTAATGCTGAGTTCATTCAGTTGTGCAATAGCTCAGAGGGACGCCCCGAGGGTTGGGTTTTGTACACTACCTCATGCAACGATGCAAAAGGAATCGCTGTTCTGATGACCACGGGCTCACCTTTGCTACCACCCTGTGGAGCAGCTGAGGCCTGTCAGCCTGTACCCCGCTTGCAGGTAAGGCTACTGAGACTTAGAGACGGGTCCAGCTTGCCCACACTTGCGCATAATTGGTTGTTAAGACCACAGCCCACTGCTCTTCAAAACCAAACATCTCATGCTTTCCCAGGGACTAATCCTCAGAACGAAGCTGAAGATGAAAAAGGGATTTGCTGGGATGGGGAGAAGGGATAATTCTAGTTCTCACACTTGTTGCGAGGGTATGGGACATTTTATCCAGTCAGCGCTCCTAGGTCAGGAAGCTCCCTTTCCTCTGAGGCTCTGGCTTCAAGGAGACAGACTGTCCGGCTCACACCCATGATCGTCTGCTCTTTTCTGTGGCTGAGCCCGAGTATGCCTCGCTCTAGTGCTCTTCACTATGCCTAAAGCCTCAGTGAAGTGCTCTTGCTTTCTTGTTTATTTTTCTTTCTTTCGTCCTTCCTTCCTTTCTTTCTCTCTTTCTTTTTTTCAAGGCAGGGTTTCTCTGTGTAGCCCTGGCTGTCCCGGACTCACTTTGTACACCTGGCTGGCCCTTAAAATCACAGAGATCTGCCTTCCTCTGCCTCCCTGAGTGTTGGGATTACAGGCATGGGCCACTGTGCCCGGCTTGCTCTTGCTTTCTTGTAGTTTCTTATAGTGCTTGTATTTTGCGGCATCATGTGACATTTGTATACATACATGTACCATGTATGATCAAGGCAGGGTAAACATCCTCCCTGACATTTAGCACGTCTTTACAGTGGAAGCCTTCAGACACATTTCCCTGAACTATGGAAGTTCTCACTATCTGTAGTTGCTTTCTTGCCGAGGCTCCCTGGACCATGCCTTATCTAACTGTAGCTTTGTATTGGCTATCAACCTTTCCCCTCTTTCCCCTCCCCCCCCACACCCCTTGGTAGCTGTACTCTCCTGAAGTTTGTTACTCTGCAGAGTAGGCCCCTCCACAGACTGTGAACCATTGTGCCCCTTTGTTACACAGGCTCTCAGACATTCAGGCCTGAGCAGGACAGAGTTGGGGCGGCAGCTCAGTTAAGAGCACTTGCTGTTCTTGCAGCAGACCTGGTTCCCAGGTTCCCAGTTCCCAGCATCCCCATCAGGCAGCTCACAACCACTTGTGATACAGTTACGGGGAATCCAATGTCCTCTTCTGGCTTCCGCATGGCCAGGTCCACATGGTGCACACGCACTCACAAGTGCACGTAAAATAGAAGTCTTTTAAGAAGATCAGTTTGCTGATCCAAATAAACTGAAACTTGGTGCAGAAAAGCATTGAAGTGTGTCAAGGCTGACAAGGAAACCAAAGAGGAGGCAGTGTCTGTAGCCGAGACCGGAGAAGAAGAGCAGATTCCCAGGCAGCAACACTGAATGGGGGAAGTGAAGGAGAGGATGATGGAATTCCTGGATGAGCTGATATGGATAACTTGTGCCTAGGACATGGGAGGTGAGGGGTGAAACCCTGTCGGGGAATACTGACTGACCAGCACCGTGGGCCGAGCCACACGACACTGCAAGCCAGTAGCACAGCCTGGCTGTCCAAACAGCTCCAGGGAGCACAACAGTGCCAGAAGTACAGCAGCAAGGCAGAAAGTGCAGAAGTGGGCAAAGAACCCAGAGAGAACAGAATCCTGGAAACCAGCAAGAGACGCTTCTAGCAGGCCTCTGGGGCCTAATGTGGAATAAGGCAAATACAGGGGGCCCCAGGGTTTGAGGTGTAGGCCCTCAGGTGACTTCTGCCTGAGCCGCCTGAGTGAATGGTATGGAGGACCAGCCTGTGAATGGGAGGCAGAGGCTGAAGAGGCCTTTGGTGTCCTCTTTCTCTTTAAAAGAACTCGGCTATGAAAACAACTCCAAATGCTCAATAAACTAGCAAGGAAGGGAGAAACGTTGAACTGGAACCCAAGAATGGGATGGGTTGTGGCCTGGCAACAGAGCACTTTCCCAGCATGTCCGGGCTCCGTCGTCTCTAGCCACTTCTGCTGAACTGAAACGCTGTCTTCTGGAAGCAGGAGGGAGCATCATAAGACTCAGGAAGCTTGCAAGACTTGTGAGATTCTCAAGGCCCCTCCCTGAGGTTATATAAGCAATAACCAGCTTCTGGGCAAGAGGGAACTCTCTAGTGACGTCGCTGCAAGCTGTGCAGGGACACAGCTATTGGGAGTCGGCTAAGCTGGGGTGGAACCGTCCCCTCAGGTGTCTGCCTTTGAGTGACCCACGCTCCTTTAAGTAACCCCGTTAAATTCGTTAGTTCACCAAGCCAGACTTGGCTGGAGTCTCTCCTTTAGTTTGTCATTGCTCTCTGTGTGTGGTGAATAGAAA